ATATATAAAAAAATGCATCAATGCGAAGAAGCGCTGAAAAGTGGATTTCATTCAGTTTCTACATCTCATCGAAGTTTATCACAGAACTGTAGTTAAAGAGACAAACAGGAATCTCATGACATGACATCAGTGCACGGATCAGTGCATCAGTGCACATGGACCTGATGCACTGAGGAACTTCTCCCTTCATCCTGAACCTTCTGTGACATTAAACAAACAACTAACAAACCACAGATAACTGTTAGGTTAGATAATGCCCCCCCCCCCCAAGATCTGGTCCCTAAAAAGACACAACACAAAGACCTGTGACACACTTCATCATTGGAGAAGGGGGGGGGGGGGGGGCTTTGTTTGGACTCAGCTGACTGTTGTGTAATGATGTGGGAGGAGGGACGAGACCCAACCAACCAAACCAGGTAACACATACTGTGTGTGTGTGTGTGTGTGTGTGTGTGTGTGTGCACGTGTGCGTGTGTGTGTGTCTGGCAGACTCTCTGTTTGTTCACCAGACCACATAATGTCCTACAGGGTCAGGTTCTTGGCCCGGCGTCTGGACTTATGTTCTAGAACCAGTCCGTAAAATTTGTGCTGGTATCCCCAACACCTCTGTGATTGGCTGCTGATTCACCTGCTGTGCTTCCCCAGGCATTTTACCCCCCCCCAGGCATTTTACCCCCCCCCCCACCACACACACACACACCGGTCTCCAGTCAGGCCACCCCAGTCCCCTGATGCCAGGGTCCAACAGGGTCCAGTAGACTGTCTGGAGTCCACTGAAGAAACCACCAGTTCAGTTCCTGTATTAATTCATATGCTTATCATTTTCAAGAGTTCCATGTGGTGGACCAGGACCAGGACCAGGACCAGGACCAGGACCAAGACCAGGACTAAGACCAGGACCAGACTTAACAAGTCAAGTCAACACTTGGGAGCAGCAGTGAGCTCCAGACTTCCCTTTCCCCAGTTCCAGCTCTGACAGGGGGATCTCCAGGTCTTCCCAGACCAGGTCAGGTCTCCACCTCATCCTCGGTCCACCCAGTGGCCTCCTCCCAGCTGGACGTGGCAGGAACACCTCCATAGGGAGGCCCCTGGAGGGATCCTCACCAGATGGCTGAACCACCTCAACTGGCTCCTTTCTGCACAAAGGAGCAGCGGGTCCACTCTGAGTCTCTCACAGATGGTTGACCTTCTCACCTCATCTCTAAGAGAGACCCCAGCCACCCTCCTGAGAAAACCTCAGCCTCGTTCTGTCAGTCGTGACCCATCGCTCGTGACCACAGGTGAGCGTAGGAAGGAGGACTGACTGACTCTGTTTGTTACAACTGTGACTGACCCTCTGGCCAATCTGCCGCTCCGTTGACCCCTCACTCATCAACAAGGCCCCGAGATACTTACAGCATCCAGTCCACCAGCTTCCTGCTGAGAACCACAGCCTCGGATCCTCATCCTAGCTGCTTCACACTCGGCTGTGAACTGGTCCAGTGAGTGTTGAAGGTCATAGACCATCAGGAACACATCACAACAGTCCTCACATCACCACACACACGCACACACACACACACACACTCTGGTCCCCCTTTCCACAGAGGCGACCTCCTCCTGCACTGTCCAGACTTCTACGCAATGTTGAAAAGGCATATCATCCAAGACAGACCCTCAACATGCAGAGCCCTCAGTGGCTGTCCCAGTACCGGTCCCTGCCCCACTCCCGGCCCCTGTCCTGATCTGTACTGGTTCTGGTCCTGGTTCTGGTCCCAGTTGTGGCTCCAATTCCGGTTGCTGTGCCAACCCTTTTGGACCCTGTGGGATGTCAAATAGAGGCGTGACTCTGGGCGTCAGTTGCTCGATGGATGAGAGTAGGTCGGGATCAGGAAACTATTGGTAAATAAGACCTGATCTGACACAGCTGTGCTGACGCTCTGAGGACCTGGGTGTGACGGGAGTCTGAGCTCTGACCTGATAATCAATATTCAGCCGTTCTGTGGGTTCTGTGTGATTGTCACTGCCACTGGGTGTCGCCCTTGTTCACCAGGATCTCACAAAGCAATCAGCTTGTTGGACGAAGCTTCAGACTGTCTCTGTCAGAGCGACCTGAGATAGACGAGGGATTCCTGAGTTCGTTGACCTCATTCAGAACAATTTCATTCATCTGCCCGCCCACACACACACACACACACACACACACGGGTTCAGTTTGTGTGATAGAGGCCTTGTTGTTGGAGCAGCAGAGAACATTCACATTGTCCCATGGTGCTTTGCCAGTTTCCCAGGATTCCATGCTCTGTGTGGGCTGCGAGCGTCCAGAACATAAACACAGTGTCGGTGGAGCTGCTTTTCTGCACAGCTCCTCTCTCACTGACGTTTAAAGACTCTCATTGTGCTGCTGCTTTTGCTGAAACAGACAGACAGACTGTCTCGCCAGGCCCCTCCCACCGGCGTTGATCTGGCTCCAACGAGGCAGACTCAAGCATCAATAACGTCTGAAGCATCAGCAGTGGAGAAGCAGCAGCTGCACTTCCCCTCCTGACCAGTAGAGTGAGTCTCCAACAGCGAGTCAGTCTCCATAGACTCCCATGTTAAAATGTGCTTTAACTTCAGGGCAGCAGTCAACAGTGTTTACAGCCTGTTACACAAACACACTGTTTAACCTCTAAAGCTGTGAAGGACCGAGGGCGGGGCCTCTTTGAGTGACAGTTTAAGTTCCACCATTTGGCATGCACTGAAATCTCAGCTCCACTCAGGCCCCTCCTCTTTTTGGCTTATCTGAGAATAAGGGGGCGGAGTCAAACACTGCCAAGATGGTGACACATAACACACATTATATTTACATTACATTGCATAACTTAATGTCCAACAAGCACAGTGAAGAGCTGTTCATTAACTTTTTAAAACCTTAGACAAGCTGCTTGTGTCCAAAGCCTGTGAAGCTGATTCTGATTCAGATAACCTGTCAGTCCACTAGAGGGCAGCACAGTCCCAATCAAAGTTATTGATCTGTAAACAGATGTCGTGCGGTGTGGCCAGCGACCTGTGTGACTTCCTTCATTTCACTGTAGGTAAGAGCGGACTCAAACTCTCAACTTTGTGATTTGAGATCATGTGTCTTGTGTTTTGTGTGTGTGTGTGTGTGTGTGTGTGTGTGTGTGTCAGTTGGATATTCCAGGCTGGCTCCAACTTCCTGTTTCACCAGAATCAAAACCTCTGTGGTTGCACTGCTGGGGACTGCTACTGTGTCATGTTACATCACACTCACACTCACACACACACACACACACACACACACACACACACACACACACACACACTCACACATACACACACACTCACACACACACACACACTCACACATACACACACACACCAACTAACCTTCTGATGTGTTTTCCAGGGTAGTTGCATCACTCCTCTGACCGGAGATCAGAGTCACTTGGACTTTCTTTGTGTTTGTCAGCGTTGATGCTGCCACATTGTTTCTGTCACTGAACCACAGGAACGGCCACAGGTTTGATTCCCAACTACAGCAGCAGGTGAGGAAGTGAGAGTCATGGGAAACATGCACATCTGCTTTATATCTGTATGTTGGCTGTAGATTTTCATTTCATCAACAATCAACATCAATCATCAACGTCACTGTAAAAACTCCCACCAACAAAAAACCCTTTCAGTCATATGGATGAGGGACAAAGAGGTGGGTGGATCTATGGTTAGAAACCAGTATTATTACGTTTTTAAACTGTGGGATCTCATGTTTATTATCTCCAAATAAGAACTTGCAGAGCAGGAGGCTTTTATTATGAAAAAACATTGTGGGATGGAAACTGTCAGGGTTTGGTTCAGTAGTCTGCAGAGGCTCCGCCCTCTGGATCAGTCAGCTGATGTGGACCAGACGGATCCACAGAACCAGACGTCTGGCCGAGTCTCCTGAGGGAGAGAGACATAAAACATTTACACTGAGAAACTATTATAAATGGATTTGTTGATTTATTGATTGATTGATTGATTGATTGATTGATTGATTGATGTTTCTGCTCTGGGTCAACCTTCTTCTTTTGGTCCGAGTGCTCGACCCTGTTCTGTGTTTCCACGTGGGTCGAGGCACGAAGCCGAGGTCGCCCGGCCTGTAGCGAACCATGAGGAACCGTGGGTCTGTGGCCAGGTTCAGGGTCTCTGCCCTGTTTGGAGGACAGAGAGGATGATGGGAGATGGAGTTCATCAGCTGCAGCTCTGACCTCATATATGCGAGGACCAGATCCAGCAGAGAGGGCTTCAGGTACCTGGCTGGTTCGGGGATGGACGTCTCAAGTTTCTCTCCTTGACTGCCCTCCTCAGTGGGGTCGTCAGGGGTGGGGCCTGTTCCCTGGGAGGCGGGGCTCTCCAGGATCTCCAGTAGCCTCTGTATCGTCCTGTGGGTCTCAGTCATCTCCTCTGGATTCTGTAGAGAACATAGAACGTCTGAACTGAAAACCAGACAAACTGACCCACCAATCAGCTTCTGCGGAGGTTGTGATGTCACAGGCTGCTCTCACCGACAGGAGGTGACTGAGGATGGCGGCCGCCTCCTCCATGTCGGCCTCCAGCTGCCACCTCCTGCTCCTCTCCTGCTGGATCTCGACCTCCAGCTGATCCACCTCGGCCTCTTTCTGACTGTACTCCTCCAACACTGAGGCCATGATCTGTCTGAAGACACCAGACAGCATGAGTCACAGCTGACGGAGGAGGTGAAGCACTGGTAGATCAAGAGGTTCCTGGTTCAAGGCCAGGTTCCTCCTGGACCACAGGAACTTGTCTGTTTGTGGTGTTCATACTTTCACAGGGTGGTGAGCGTCTTACCTGAGCTCCTCCTCCTCACCCAGCATGCACTCTGATCTGGTTCTCCACTGCTCCTTCTTCACCTCCAGCTGCTGTTTCACTGCAGTCAGCTCCTCGGCCTCCTGAAGAAAACAAGATGTTGGTTTATTCTTCTCTTCTCACAAATCCGATGATCAGTCCTGATGTTGTGGGGGGGTGTAGCTCAGTGGTAGAGCATTTGACTGCAGATCAAGAGGTCTCTGGTTCAATGTAGATGCCCCCAGTGTCGCACTCATGTTGGTTACCTTCTTGTATTTGGAGATGTCACAGGCGACCTTGTTGATATTCATCCTCAGTGAGTCAATTTCAGAGTTCAACACTCTCTTGGAGGTTTCCAGCTCGTCTTTCTCTCTCCACAGTTCTATGTCGTTGTCCAGCAGCTTCTCGACCTCCTGCAGCAGCTCACTGTGCTCGCTCCTCTCCGCCACCAGGAGATCTGGGATCTTCATCTGAAGGTACTGTTTCACCGTACTCTCTCTTTCGTCATATATCCTGTTCGTTGGAGAACATGGGTGAAGCTGGATGTTCACTGTCTGCTGGAGAACATTCACTGCTCTGACCAGTCAGTGTTTACCTCTTCCTCTCCTGCTTTACCTCCTCCTTCAGGCTGATGAGGGCGGTGGCTTGCTCCACCTTCTCTCTGTCCAGCTGCTTCTCCAAAGTCTCCATGGTGGGCAGAGAATCCAGCAGCTGCAGCTGCTCCTCCAGCTGCTCCTTCAGCTCCTGCAGCACCACCACTGAGGGGGGAGGAGAGGCAGCCCAGTTTCACTCATTTCCTGACTGCTGTTGTTGTGACCTCACAAAGTGACAGGAAGTCCTGACGGCTGGTTTTAAGGCTCAGTGTCTGAATACAGGCTGTGTGCATTTCTCTGTGGACTGAGGCTTTGATACTTTCACAGTATTAATATAGAACCTAGAGCTGCTTTATAATCACACTACACATGGACGTCTACCTTTATACTGTATGGAGCTTTAAGACGCACGTCTACCTTTATACCGTATGGAGCTTTAAGACGCACGTCTACTTTATACCGTATGGAGCTTTAAGACGCACGTCTACCTTTATACCGTATGGAGCTTTAAGACGCACGTCTACCTTTATACTGTATGGAGCTTTAACAGAAACACGTCTCACCCTGTGTCCTGCTCTTTGACCTCAGTTTGTTTATCTCCTCCTGAAGCTCCTCCATCTTCTGTCTGTGCTGCAGCTTCACACCTTCTCTGTGCTCTTCAGCCTCATGTTGCTGCTTCTCCAGCCGCTCCATCAGCTCCTCCGCCTTCTTGTCTTCTGCGGCCACTGAGTGCTTCAGGTACTCAGTGATGTCGTCCTTGTCCTCCCTCAGCGCTTTGCACTGAGACGTCAGGTGCTTGTTCTGTTTCTGCAGCTCGTCACACCTGAGCTGACACCTGCCACACACACACAGCTGTGAACACCAGGAACCAACACAGTGCAAACAAGCTGCAAGTGAAGTGTTTCAAATGTCTCTAATTAAATAAAGCATGTGCAGTGATTTTCAGAATAAGAGGAGGTCAGAGTGAAGCTTCTAAACAACATGAACTGACTGTCACTCTGATACCGAACATGTGATGTAGTTTCAGTCACAGCACAACTCAGTCACTCAGTGGTTCATTTCCCACCTCTCCAGATGTTCGTCCAGATGTTGGATTTGTGTCAAATACAAGGACTTCTCTTTGCGGTCAGCGTAATCGACCTCCATCGTTGAGTTTTTCTCTTTTTCCTGCTCTGTTTTTTCCTCTTTAGTGTTTCAGTCTCAAACAGGATTGATGATGCTGTTGTTTAAACCTGCTGTCACCTGTTGCTAACGAATGCTGCCTTCAGGGACTGAAGTTCCACTCTTTTCAAAAACAAACAAACGTTTTGATTCCACTTTACACTGCTGCTGTTTCTTTTCCCTCTGGGTTCACGTGACATTTACCTGAACATCCGCTCTGTCACATGTTCGCCATGTGTTTGTTGGACACGGATGCGACTTTAGTGAATATAAAACAAAGCAAAGTGAACATGTTTGGTCTTTAATATCAGAGGTTATTCTCATGTGCTGCTCCTCAGTTCAACTAAAAACAGTTTGTCAATAAAACACAGAACCTGGTTTAAGACTCGACGTCCGGACCAGTGGTGCTGAAGAAACTTTATGTACAAACTTAAAGGACAAAGAAAACTGATCATTGTTTCGTTGAACTTTTTTAAATCAACGTTTTCTTGCAGATGAAACTTTTTTACTGGCTGTGTTAGAAACAACAGGATCTGTTTTGGTTGGAGGTTGGACGACACAAAATACACAACTTCACTGAACGAGGAGGAGTTTTAATCTGCATCAGTCAGCAGCTGCACACACACACACACACACACACCACCCAAGTCATGCAATCCACAGCTGCATTATTAATACCTACACAAACAGGGCTCTTCCCTGTGTCTGTGTTTCTGTAATTACTGTGTTTGGTCTCTCTCTCTCTCTCTCTCACACACACACACACACACGCGCGCACACACACACACAGGGAGACAGTGATGCTGGATGTGAATTTGAGGCCACGACTTCACCTCCGAGTTGAACCTGAGTTCACTGAACTCATCATGTAACACCTGTCTGAGGTGTGTGATACCTTCAGGTACAGTAAGTCATTTTCATAGCTGAGGTTTCTCCTGTGCACTGTTACAGATGAACCCTGGGTTATAACCCTGCGGTGTCCTGCACGCTACCTCCGCCTCCCACTGTTTTTCAGCCCGAGGCCGCTGCACTGTAGCTCAGCGGTCTCTGTTTGTCTTGGCTCCGCCCCCGTCCTCTGCATCAACCTGGCAGAGTTCAGCCCGAGAGGACGACGCCTTTAAAACACAAATAATCTGCTCTTTGCACGAAAAGTAAGATGAAGATGTTTCCTCTGCAGCAAAAAATGAGACAGAAGGAGGCACAAAGCAGCCTGTGGTGGAGGGTGAGGAGGGTGAGGAGGAGGAGCACAGACTGTCACGACAGGTTCAAGCCCCAAAAATGTGTTTTCACTTTGTTGAAACTGAAAGTTGAATCCTGAGGTGACTCTTTGTGTTTCCTTTTCGTGCTGCTGTCACATAATTATCTATGATTTATTGTTTCTTATGAATAAAAACAGCAGAGTGACTGAAAACTACAGGAAAACAACAGTGAGGAGGGTTTGAGCTCAGCGGCCAGCGGATGGATTTATAGGATTGAAAACAGATTTGATCTTTCTTTGTCTGGTTCATGAGCTCATGTCTCCGTGTTGTCTGGTGTTTGAACTTGTTCAGATGTTCCTGTTAGGATCCTGTAGAGCAGATGAGACCAGGACTCAGTGTCTCTGCGGTCCTGGACCTGGACTTGTTGTGGCGTCGGGACTCATCGTGACCTTGTCTCAGACACGAAGTGAAGCTGGGATGCGTGCAGACTGTCGGACGCTGCGTTTGAGTTCCTCCTTTAAATCATACATTATGTGTGGAGCTGTGTGTTCTGGTGACAGCAGCAGCTCACACAGGCCTCAGGCTGCAGAGACGCATCCAAACATCTCCCTGAATTCCTCCACCGACAGCCGACATGCAAATACATCAGCTGTTTGTTTCCCTGTTGTCATGGCAGCTTTAATTAGACATGTAAAGACACTGATCAGCTGTGAGCTGCAGCTCCTTCTCCTCCTCCTCCTCCTCCTCCTCCTCCTCCTCCTGCTGCTGCTGCTCTCTGATCAACACGCTGCTGCACACGGTGTTTGTGCAGCTCACAATGAACCACTTGGTGTTTTTCTGTTTTTACCATCAACAAATCCCATTAAATAGTCACAACAGTGGTTCAACCAATAATGGGCGGAGCCTCTGTGACTCCGCCCACAAGTTTCTGAAGCTCAGAGTGAACTGATAAACTGTCACCATCTTGGCAGAGTCTGACTCCGCCCCCTCACTCCAAGCTAATCCAAAAATAGGAAAATAGGAGAAACCAGGGTGCATGCACATGCTCACTCACCTGTCAATCAAATAGGCCACAGGTCAAAAGGGTAAACAGATGAGTTCAGCCTCCCAGTCCAAAGTCAGTGCCATCAGTGCTCTTCATGTTTCTATTGCTTTCCCACCAGGGCCAGGACCTGGGACCTGGAACTTTTTTGGTAAGGCCTCAGCCGAGGTTCCAAGCTGATGCTTGAACATGACGTCAGCTGAGTGCCGGCCACTGACTGGCCATTTGTCATCACAGTAAGAGTCAGGGGGGTGACGTCCGACACAAGAATCAAACCCACTGTTTTTACAAACACGCCGGCAGCAGCTCCCACTGCTCTGTTCTGAGACTGTTGTTGTTTCACTTGAGTTAAAACCACAGCGTGGTCCGTCGATGAGGTCAGGACAACTGTAGCCGCCGTGCTCTGATGACCCCGTCCACGTTGAGGAGGTACGATGAAGTACTCAGCTGTAAAAACCGAGTGGAGTCAAGCTGTAACTGTGTAAAGGGCTATAAAAGGACTTTTTAACATGGGAGTCTATGGAGATTGACTCACTCTCACTCTAGTGGTCAGGAGAGGAACTGCAGAGCTGCTGCTTCATGTTTCAGCCTCAGAGGTTATTGATGCTTGTTTGGTCCTGAACAGGAGGTCACTGGAGTGTGGACTATTTTCAGCGGAGGATTAATCCACCTGTGCTGCAGTCAGGACTTCATCTGTGTGGCAGTAAAACACTTTCTGATTCAGTCTCAAGACCTGTGTGTGTGTGTGTTTTGTGTCTGTTCTGTTGTTTCACTTGTGGTTTCAAACTGATTTATCTGGGTTTGGCTGAAGGCGTCTCACTTCTCTGTGTCAGTGAACACATCACGGGCCACACAACTGTTACTGTAAAATTCCTTTGTGTTGTACAGTAGGTGAAGGAGATGTCAAGGATGAGATGATTATAGTGTTTGGCTTCATTTGAATTCCTGACTCTCAGCTGCAGTTCATTAAAACTGGAATTTGGCTCCAGGCTCGACCTCGGAGACTGAAGTGAAGTGATGAGGCTGGATTCCTCCAGCAGCCGCTGTCATCACCGCTGTGGGAAGCATTTATCTGTGTTATTAAACTATTAAACTGTGTTATTAATCCTGCTGAAACGTGCATCCTACAGCCGGGCGACCGAGCCTCTTCCTCTCGGTGCTATGACCCAACACATCGGTATTCTGTTGCCACACCAGAGTGAGAACAGGCAGCATCAAACACATGAGACAACAATAGCCGAGCGACAAA